GGAGCATGAGTACAACTTCTACTGCAATAATTCTCAAAATGACAAAACAGTCTCAAGAAACATGGATACATTAAGGACAAGCAGAACTTAAAAGAGACACTGTCACTTTGTCCACTCAAAGCAAAAAGGGACAGTGTCTGTAAAAAAAAGCCCCTGTGACCCTCTGATACATACCGTACCTTTCTAGGGATGCCCCCATTGCTCCTGCCTTTAGCCGAGCTGGCACAAAATAGCCAGGAATCCTGTGCATGGGGGAGCTTATGACCACCTGTTTGGCAGTGCTCTGGTCTATGGGAATTAGCAAATTGACAGTAGGTAAAAAGACCCCAGCCACCCACTGATACTCTCCTTTCTAGGGGTCCCCCACTGCTCCTGCCTTTAGCTGAGCTTGCACAAAATACCCAGGAATCCTGTGCATGGGGAACATATGACCTCCTCCTGTGTGACAGATCTATGGGTAAAGTGACAGTGTCACTTCAAGCCAAAACTTATTATTTTGTTTCAGATAGGAATGTGGAAGAGTTAACATTTATACATACACAATTTGACACATACATGTGAACTGTCTTAAATGGCATAATACTAGAACTTGTCTTTAGCCATGCTTTTTCTTCCCCTTCCTGTGAGCATTATTAGGAAAGCTGACAGCACTGTGCAAGGTAATAGAGCCCTGACTAGCTTCTCTGCAGAGTATTACAAGAAGCTGATGTGAATACAGAATCATCTATGTGTGTTAGGTGTAGATAAATTATTGTAATTATATTTTAAAGATATTAGATTTAATTATATTTTATAGATCACATTCAAATAATTATTATTGGGCAATTTTATTTTAATTTATATTGTTAAGTATATTTTATAGACAAATATCTGTTTTATGATATCTTCCTGAAATTTAGCCTTAATTGTATTCTAGACATTGTTTACTACCTTATTATGCAGGTAGGTTGACGTGAAGGTAGGACAATAAAAGCAGATACAATATTGCCACAGCTATTTATACTGTCGCTGCTCTTTATGGCTCATTACAATACCTCACTCACAACGTTTTCCAGGAAGCAATCAGTAGTGTTTGCCAATGTGATCTATTCTATACTCTACTGCCATGTTTTAAGGGCCATTCCACTTTAAAGTGCAAGTTTAAGGGCTTGTTCACACCGTCCCCAGACCTGTGCATTTTTTTTTTTTAAATCAACTGCACCAAAAATACATGCACACTATAATTTCAATGGTTTTAAATGAGGCTAGTGCACACCATTGCGTTCAGTTCCAGTGCTTTTTTACAGTACAGCAGCATACTTTTTTCCCCCACACCAGAACGTGCAAACACATGCAAAATAAACTGGAATGTGCTGTAGACCCAAGCAAAGCCAATGTAAAAAAACGCACCAGAATGCAGCAAAAATGTATCTCAAAACATATAAAACGTGTGTACAGAAAAGCATCCAGAACCGGACCGGTCTGGAGATGGAGTTTAAAAAAAAAAGCCCAAAATGTCACTAAATTCCTGTGAATTGAAATATCTTTTTGCTGCCAAGTATTGTTGTGGCAAGAGCTTGCCATCATAGAGTTTTACTCCTCAAGGGGTATCCCCAGTTCTTCTCCTCCTCTTGCTGCATTCCCTACAACATAAAATAAACAAATCCAATGGGGAGAGTGGGATCACAATACTGTATAATAGCCACTACTGCTGGATGGTCTGATACAGATTAGATCCCGCCAACCAACTCCCTTAGAGTTAAAAGAAGCTAGTAGGTAATTCAACTAGACACCATCTAAAAAAAAACAAAACCTGTCAGTTTTGAGTGGGCTGGCTCTTCCCAGCTGCAATCTATATATGCATTTAATGTGAATTCACCTAAAATCAGGGGAAGCATCAAGAATTGCAGCCAGTCTTTCCATTGAAACCTTGGCACACTGGCATGGGTGAACCTGAAGCTGGGCAAAACCGAGATGCTGCACAGTAAAAACCGAAGACCCGGATCTATTTACACCAATTAGGCCTGGTTCACACCTGAACGTTTTGTAGCGCGTTCAACGCTCTACAAAACGCTCAAACATCTAAATCCCATTGTATTCAATGGGTCTGGTTCACACCTTGCCGTATTTCCGCCCGTCCGAACGCGATACAAAACGGCCTACGCCCAAAGAAGTACATGTACTTCTTTGGGGTGTTTTGGTCTCGCGTTTCCATTGGGATACAGCCAAGTAGCCCTCAGAAACGGGCGTTTGTCGCGCGTTTTGTTACCGCGAATCGCGGTAAAAACGCGAAACGCGCGACAAACGCGCATATTCAATACGCCTAGGTGTGAACTTAGCCATAACATTATGACCACCCGCCGAATGTTGAGTAGGTCCCCCTTTTGCTGTCAAAGCAGCCCTGGCCTATTGAGGCATGGACCCCACTAGACCTCTGAAGGTATGCTGTGGTATCTGTCACTGAGCAATCAGTAACCAATCATTTAAGTTGTGAGGTGGGGCCTCCATGCATCGGACTTGTTCCAGCACACCCCACAGATACTCTATTGGATTGAGATATGAAAAATTTGGAGACCAAGTCAACACCTCAAACTCGTTGTTTTGTTCTTCAAACCATTCTTGAATAATTTTTGCAATGTGGCAGGGCACAATATCCTGCTGCAAGAGGGCACTGCAGACCAGGAACATCCCACAAGAGCTGCAGTTTCGGAGTTGCTCTGACCCATTCGTCTAGCAATCACAATTTGGCCCTTGTCAAAGACATTCAAATCCTTACACTTGTCCGTATTTTCCGCTTCCCACACATTAACTTCAGCGACAAAATGTTCACTTGCTGCCTAATAAATCTCACCCACTTCCAGGTGCCACTGTAACAAGATAATCCGTTTAATTCACTTCTCAGTGGTCATAATGTTATGGCTGATCAGTGTGACTTTGTCCTATCTTGGAAATGGACAGCACAGGAAGGAGGTACCCTGAAGTGCTGACAGGGAGATACAATGCATGTCACGGTGCCTCCAAAACACAGGACCTGGAGTTGGAGGCCACTTTTTGCAACGATAAGGCATTTGATGGCTTTACTAACCCTCGCCTGCTTCGGGAATGCCCAGGTATCCTAGTAGCGCTAACCGCTCTGGAACGCACTGTATATGGTGTGAACGGTCTAGTTAGGTTGGCTTTAATAGAGATAACATGCAGAATAAAAAAAAGTTGATTTCATTTTTATATTAACTTAAATGGAGAAATAATTTTTATAGTGAACACATAATTGGGATAACTGGTGCTGATAACATGCCCCAGCATTGTACAAACACTTTCATAATAATGATGTCAGATATGCGTAGGTCTGACCGTTTCTCTGATGAAAACACAGTCAATAAACATAGCTTTGTCTATTAACACCATATGCTGAAACACAGCTAACGAGGCAGAACTTAGCAGGGATTTTGTCACTTCCCCGAGTTGCTAGGGGAAACACGATTTTCTATTTTGGTCTTTCGAAGACTTGTCAACACAGAGGCGGGCTTTATATACTGCTAAATATAATCACCATGACAAACAGAATGGAGGAGGCAAAGGTTCCACACACACATAGATCTTCCATCAGAAGCTGCCGCACAGGAACACAGTGGGGGAAAAAAAAACACACATTTTAATTCACGCTCGGCTCACTGTGGCAGAACACAAAAAAAGCCGAAATCAACATCACGTTCTTCCTTGCACAACAGCACCAAGCTACCCAATCCAGCAACCTGTTTAATAATGCAGCTGTTATCAGATAGCTCCGCATGAAGTCTTGGCAAGCAGGAAGGAGCTGAGGAGGTCACCTCTGGAGGAGCATCCTATAGGCAAGACTCACAGTGACTGCAGACACGCTGCGGCCTCTAATTCAAATTCAAAATCCCTCCTAGAGCAGCAAAACACACACCGTGGGGTTTGCAGAATCTAGTAATCCTCCCAATGCAAGCCTGCCATCTCTTAATCTCGGTTATTACATTTATTACATGCAAAACTGCTACCGGTGTGTAAGAGATATGTGTGTATTTATTGTTTTATGCACTGACATTCTTTACCGGATGGTGTGTGTATATATTTATTTATTTTTTATGCACTGCCATTCTTTACCTGATGGTGTGTTTGTGTGTGTGCATATATTTATTTATTTTATGTACTGACATTCTTCACCCGATCTTATACACACACTTCCAATGTTCTACTACATAATAAAAACCATATGCATTCTGATTGCCACTAAGGGACCACTGGAAGAAAGAAAAATGCTGTTGCTTTTTGTTTTAGCAATGCCGAATTCAGCTCCCATGCATGAGAGAAAATGACAGCAAAAAAAACCCCCCAAAAAACTGGCTGTTATGGGCAACACAGAAGCCGTCCTTTCCTGCAGCTTTCAGGCATCAGCATGTATATGAGAGTTACATAATGTTACCCAAAGATGAGTGCTTCACAGGACCAAGGTGATATAGTGATGTGGAGACAGAGCAAACCATGTATATGTTTAGAGACCTGCTGTTTTCGAAAGAAGTGAGAAAATACATATACACACACACACACACACACACATTATATTACACACACACACACACACACACACACACACACTGATGGTTTATCTGACATGGGTGAGCCATAAGATGTACACAAGCATGTAATAATAACACTAGAACTATGCGAGTGTCAGGTAAGAAGCTGTCCATAGTATATGATATCTCCAGAGGGGGAGCTCAGTCAGTGTGGTGTAGTAGAAGCCATGTACACATCTGTGTCTGTATAGAACAATACTGGTGACAGAGGAGACTGCATATTCAGCTTCTTATTACCAATATGGAGATATAAATAGTAGGGAGATTTCCTCCACATTTAACCTTGCGTCTCCCGAGGCATGCATATAGAAGAGCAGGGTGACCGGGTATCTGCAGAGAACTACAACCACCATCCTCCTGACTACTAACACCAATCGCCTCCACCCTCTGTATACACGATCTATGTGAAGGCTTCTTGCTCACCTGGGTGGCTTTGTGGAACTGCTTCTTGAACCCCGCTACAGACATGATAGATCCTGTGTAGAGAGCTCAGGGGGGAAGGTGCTCCGGATCCGGGGGTCGGTGTTTAGCGATGGCTGAGTGCAGGGGAATTTCTGCTGGCCGGCGGTGGCTTTAATCTTGTGGTGGTGTTATCAGATGCATGCCTTAATGCAGGGACACCCTGACGTCAGGGGAGGAGAAGGCCGGCCTATGAAGGGGCAAGCCCTCCTCCCTCTTCTCCTCCTCCTCCATCGTGATCTATCCTCAGCTAGCAGTCTAAAAATCATGAAGGCATTGGAGGAGGGGGAGTGACGTGGGAGGACAATGTGGCCCTTTCATCTGCTGCATACAGGCTAGCGAGCCATGGTCATGGTGGCCATCCGCCGGATGTATATCCTGGAGGGGAGGATGACGGTTTCTGCATGTAGTCTTTTCAGTCAGTTAAAGTCCTCTTTCACACTTCAGCATTTTCAGGCAGCTCTTGGTTAGCATACTTGCTTCATGGGCATTTTCAGGCGTCAGCATTTTTGTTTTGTTTTTAGCCAATGGAAAGCTAGTAACTGGGAGAAGGAGACTGTCATTAGTGGTGAAATCGCACGAAAAATGTGCATTCTGCTTATTTTGTAGACGCTCCTATGCAGGTTTATAAGGACAAAAGTGTGACGCTCAGGTGTGAGGCTGTGTTTACACCACGTCTGGAGCAGATCAGCAAACGCAGTGCAGTGCATTTGTACCACGATGACAGTCATTTTGGTGTCAGCCCCTTGAAAAGTCAGGCACCCGGTCATGGACCGAGAGCCCGACAGTGTCAGGAGAGAGGAGGGGACCCGGTGGGATAACTCATCCCGCCAGGTGAACGTCCCCTCCTCGACTCTGCCGGCTTCTACCCTGTTTCCCCGAAAATAAGACCTACCCCAAAAATAAGACCTAGTACTATTTTTGGGAATTGTTAAAATATAAGACCTACCCCAAAAATAAGACCTAGTTGTGACCATTCCCAGGGCCGGTGGTGGCCTAAGGGGGGAACTTGAAGAGCCGCAGGAGAGAATTAGCGGTGCCAACGAAGCCAGCGCTAGGGGAAGCAAAGCAGTACCGGAGGGAGAAGGGCCGCATAAGCCGAACCCTCCTCTATAGCGCCGGCTGCTGTCACAGGCGGAGTGATACCAAATGCTCTCCGCCTGTGAGGAATCGATAGTGAAAGTGCGTTTCGCTCAGTCTGGAGAGCGATTGGTTACCAAATTGCTCTTACCCCTGATTGCCCAGATCACCCTATTTTTGTAAATGAATAAGTGTGGATTGTTGTACATTAACAAAAAATAACACCTACCCCGAAAATAAGACCTAGTGTGTTTTTTTGAGCCAAAAAAAAAATAAGACAGTGTCTTATTTTCGGGGAAACACGGGTATCACCAAGATGGCAGGCGCCAATAAGACGACTGCGCATGTGCGATGATGTCACGGTGGGGTGTCACCCGGTCTCCGCTCCGGGTGTCACCCAATCTCGGGACATCCCTGATTGGGATGCTTCTTTAGTCCGGGGACAAACTGTTCTGGTCTGGACATGATCCAGACATGGTGTGAACAAGCACTGAATGGGCACCATTGAAAATAATGGGATTCTTCATGTTGAGCAGGGATACACTGATACCATTTTATCCAGACCGAGTACTAGTACAGATACTTTTCCACAATTAGTCACCAATACTTTTTTTTTTTAGTGTCACTAAAGTTTTTAGTGTGACACTTTTTCTAAAACAATACAAACCGATGATTTTAGGACAGTGGTGGAATGCCAGGGCCCGGTTACAATTGCAACCCTGTTCTGCCACTGACTACAAGCTGTAGAGGGAATACAAATCCCAGCAATACATTATGCATCAATGCCGAATGGCAACTGGCTATAGAGAACTACAAATACCAGCAATGCATTATACCTCAATGCAGAATAATATGAAGCTACATACTCTGTGCTGCTTTGGGGTGCCGGCCTTGTCTCCAGCGGAGGATCTCAGGTTGCTGTGTGGGAGCTCAAGAGAGCTGTGTGGGTTCTGAGGAGAGCTGTGCAGAGTCTCAGGTGGGCTGTGCAGGGTTGCAGTAGGGCTGTGCAAGGTCTCAGGTGGGCTGTGCGGGGTCTCAGTTTGGCCATACAGGGTCTGTGGTGGGCTATGCAGGGTCTATGGTGGGTTGTACCGGGTCTCAGTTGGGCTGTGGAGAGTCTATGGTGAGCTGTGCAGGGTTTATGGTGAGCTGTGCAGGGTTTATGGTGGGCTGTGCAGGGTCTTACAAGGGGTCCCGACCAGTCTTGGTGGGTTCAGGCAAGCGGGGTTGCAGGAAGAAGGAGGAGCTTATCAGCCGGCACTGTAGACAGACGCCGCAGTTCACAGGAAGGCTTCCAGGTCCTTGCTGGGGACCTCGGCAGCCTTCCTATAAATGGTGTCATCGGTGTACAGCACCGACTTCTGTTTAAAAATTTGAAGTGCCGGTATGAGTACACTTGAAAATGCCCAGTATAGGCACCGATACCGGTATCGGTGCATCCCTAATGTTGAGCGTTGTCACACTTCAGGAAACATGCAACAAGATGCTCAGGTGTGAACAGGCACCATTAAAAATAATGGGACTCTTAATTTTGAGCGTTGTCACACTTCGGACAGCACACAACAAAATGCTCCGGTGTGAATGGGCACCATTGATAATAATGGGACTCTTGATTTTGAGCGTTGTCACACTTTAGGAAACACGCAAGAAGACGCTCTGGTGTGAATGGGCACCATTAAAAATAATGAGACTCATCGGGGGGAATTTATCAAAACTGGAGCAGACAAAATCTGGAGCAGCTGTGCATGACAACCAATGCGCTTTTCTCTTCAGTTTGTTCAGTTAAGCTTTGAAAATGAAAGATAGAAGCCGATTGGTTGCCATGCACAGCTGCTCCAGATTTTGTCTGCTCCAGCTTTGATACATTCCCCCTTATCATGTTTAGTGTTATCATACTTCAGGAAACACGTAAGAAGACGCTTTGGTGTGAATGGGCACCATTGAAAATAATGTGACTCATCATGTTGAGCGTTGTCGCGCTTTGTACAAAGCACAAGACACTAAGGTGTGGACAGCATCATTGATAGTAATTGGATTCTTTATGTTTGACACATGACACAACGCTCAGGTGTGAATGGTATAAATGTAATAGAGATGGGCTTTATGTATACTTTTATATCTGTGAATCTTAAAGTTGAAGTATAATGTACCTTAAGAGTCACAGATATAAAAGTCCCCAATTGGACTGCACATTTTAGGAATCCTCACAAACAGGGTTTAGGCTGCACACTCTTGTTCCTTTTGCAGCACTTTGCATTGCACGTCAATGTATGCAAGTTACAGTTATGCAATGACATGATATTGCGGTTTTCAAAGTAATGTTGCACAACTGTGGAATCTGTCACTTAACAGAATTTAACTATTTGCAACTGCTTAATGAAAAAAAATAAGCTATTATATTTATATCATATTATATATTTCTATAGAAATAAAGTTGTTGTTTTTTTTAAAATGGACTTCTCAAACATGGTGTCTGTGTTCCTTCTGGAACGTAGTAATATGGCGGATTCCATCCATGCACGTGCAGTAATGTATACCCCCTCCGTCCCCACACAAGCCAATGTAAGCCAATATGGCAGCAAGATCCCATGCATTGCATGTACTGTACAGTAGTGACTGAACACTACGGCACATACACTGTATCTTTCTGCCACATTTGAAACTTGGTAGCGACCACAGAGATTGGTGGTTATGAAAGGTCGCTACCCCGCATATGTGGAACCTGCTACGAAATTTCACAGAGATCACAGACCACAATGCATGTGTGCGGGTGCAGACACAATCCGACATTATAACACGAGTGCTTGTGCATGCACAGGGCAAAAAGGAAAAAGGCAAGAAGCTGAACATGGGCGGTATCACTTGGCCTGAGAAAGCATGCAAGGCACTGGCTGTGCCATGAGTGTTGCTTTCAACACTGCCAGCAGCCTCTCTTTTCTCTTCACCACTCTTGATCCCTATCCTACCCCACATGGTAGTCTCAGGTCCCCACCCCTACTCTCACCATTTTGTCAAGAACCTCCCCCCATTTCCAGTGTGCCCTGCCTGCACCTGAACTCCCTTTCCCCTTGCACTCACTTGTACCACCACACTTGTACAGTTTTCACCCCCCCCAACACATTGTCTGCACACCACAATTCCTCCTGCTTTCTCGAAAGCCCCTGACCCCCGTCCATACTTCCATTTATTACCACTGAAACTGCACAAAAACCCTCCCAATGTTGCTACTATGCCTGCACACCCTCACCACCATGCTTGCATGCCTCAACACCTGTTCTCATAACTACACCTGGGCATCTGCAACCTCTGCTCCTGCTCTCATCACCACACCTGCCCATTCCTTCTTTGCAGCCCCCCTGCTATCACCACATCATCCTCCCAGCTTAGCACCTGACCTCCTTATCGCTCTCACCCACAAACCTACACGCTGCACCCCTCCCACCACCACTACGCCTGACCCCAATGACCAGGGTACCCCCCTCCCCCACTGTCACTACCCCCATTTCCCTGTCACTCTCACCATTGTACCTGCCAACACCTAAATCCTCTGCTCTCTACTTCAGCAGCCACTATCCCAGCACCCTCTGCTTCCGCCATCATACTTGCTTACCTTGCTCGTTGTGGAGCAGGCACACTTTTGCAAGTCTTATATGTTGTAGGAATTTGAGATTCTGTTGTATTTGTGTGTGCTAATGACAACTTTTTAGGAAAAAGAAAATTAAAATAGGCATTTGTACAGCCATCATTGGGCCATGCAAGCATGGTGGTGAGGGTGTGCAGGCATAGTAGCAACAATGGGAGGCAGTGCTCGTCAAAGAAAGGGTTAACATGCACCATTTTTGAATAGTAATACTATGGTAAATATTTAATGAAAATTAATTCTATTAATCTACATAAGAGGGATCCAAAATGTGTGCAGGTTTTGATACATAAGTTACTGTGATAAGTGGTCAATGAACCATAAGGGGTTAGACTTTTTCTCACACCATGCTCCAAGTTCAATGGCAGGTTAGAAAGTCCTAATGAAATCACTTCCTCTGTACAAACATGATTATTCAACGAGTAGCATATTGTAAAGAACAAAAATCTACTACTGAAAACTTGTGCTAAGAATGCAAAACATGTTTACACTTTGGTATAAATTTAGGGATAATTGTTTTACATGC